TTAAAATTATGTTTTTCACAAACATTTTAGTTATTTAACTTGAGTTGATTAAACTCATTTGGCAAAGTAACATCGTTGTCAAAAAAATAAAACCGCCAATGTAATTGAATTTAAAACGCAAAGAAAAATTACTCCTATTACAAGTCCAAAATCAAGAGAAAAATGAACTTTTCTTTTTAATGAATCAGAACAACGCAATTTTAATTTGATTTACTCGTTTTAGGTGACGCAAAAAATGTTTTCCTTTTGCCGTTTTGGCGTAAAATTAAATATAATTTTGTTTTCTTCTTGTAAACTCAATTCGGGGTCATAGTCTATATACATGATGTATGTATAGCTACCATTTATCATTATTAATGAATGAAAATCAATTTTTTTTTCAGTTTTCATTTTATTAAATTCTTTAAAGTTTTTTTTTAAATTCCGATTGAAACTACATATTGCCCTAAGATTAGCCCAACAAGTAGGTACTTATTTCAAAAGAAGTTTTCAGATGAAAAAACCTTTGCTTTATTTACAAAATTAAATTAAAAACCAGAACTGTGTTTAGTATCTAAATTTTTTAAACACAATAATTTCTCGTTTTTAGTAATAAATTGTTGTTTATTTTAATTAAAAGTTGCTAAAATTGTATTTTTTCATTTAGATCTTTTATTATTGAAATTTAATTATTTTTTAAAATGTTTTTGAACTGTTTTTATCTTACTTTAAGAGAAGATTTTTACAAAAAAAAAGTATTGTGTAAAAAGTTATATTTGACATTTTTCTCAAAAATTCTGTTTATTAAACAATTTCTTTTGTAAATGAATAAGTTATGTTTTTTTCGGTTGAGAACTTATTCTGGTTTCGTTGATGTTGCGGTTTCATTGTCTTTAAGTGTATTTAGTACGCTGCGAGTCAGTCAGGTATGAAGAGGGTTTTATTTTTAAGATGTCATGCCCGGCAATTGCTGTATCCAGTTACTAATTACCTTAATGGCTGTCTGTAAATAATACAGTCGCTCTGTGTCTGTTGGATTCACACTTGTTTGTTAATGGCTACCATCTGTTGTGACGTCACTATTTTCACCACCAACAGAGATCACTTGTGGTGGTCGAACACGTGGTTGTTTTACTGACTTTTTTCCCGGAAGTGATAACGAGATGTTTTAATAAATTTGATGAGTAACGATTTATGGTTTTATTTCATCATCGTTTGGTTCCCATTTCCTGAAGCATCCGGCCTTATAATACCTTTTTCAATAAAGCAGATCGCAGACCTAAAATAATTACTTGAAAACAATGGAAAAATAATGAAAAAAAAATCAACGGGATCGCATCAGAACCGAAGATTCCCAATAAAAACAATATCACTAAAACTCAATAAAGTGAGTAATATCGCGAAACAATAAGAAGCAACCACAATCACATAAAGTCAAATACCAAATTGAATCGAGAAAATTATTAATGAAACAGAACAGACAACGGTTATCAGAATTGCCACGGAGCGAGACGGGTGCAATCTTCGTCCCTCTATTAGACAAAGACAGATCCGTTCGAAGGGATTCAAGGGATCATAGTAGGCTTTCAATTAGTTTTTTGATTGATTTCGCAGCCGCCAGGAGCGCTACTTAATTGGAAGCGTTGATTACAGTCCGGGCCCTCTTTGATGTTCTCCCCGTATAATTGGCCTGTTTAAGATTGATTATGAATTTTGTTAATCGATCCGCTTGCAGTTGCAGATATTGAATCTTTAATCAACTACTTTGGCTAATTGCCGCAGACCAACAAAAATCTAATTAACTAATTGGCCGCGGGCCGACTACAACTCATCCACGCGAAATAAGAACAACCGCACTTGCAATAATAAAATGGACCGGACGCCGTCATCAATACTGCTTCTGTGTGTCCTATCACTATCTGTAATACACTTAGAAGCCTGCATATATCAAACATCTGCCCATTATCCAAATTGACTGCTGTAATCAACTAAAAAGAATTCAATCCACTTCGACCATGCATTCATATTTTTGTCCGGAACTTGAAACCTCCTTTGTTCCGGAATGAATCCTTGCTGTTGTCATAGGTGACCCTAATTCACGTCTCAAACTAATAACAGTACCTACCACTTGGGCCTATCGAAAATCTCACCCTATAAATATTAAATTTCACTCCAATTTATTAACATTGCCACTAATTTCTCACCTTAATTGTGTTAGGTGTAGGGTATGTCGGCCCAAGTCAGCGTCGACTTTTTTAATCCACATTATTACGGCCATAACTTTAAAGCCGTAATCGAATAAAGTGTAATAATTTGCGCGTTATAAGTGTCGATTCTTATAAAGTTCCGAGGATATATACAGTGGCCAGGGCCCTTTTAACTAAATTGAAATTAACTGTATAAGTTACAGGCGTCGATGAAGCACTTCGCACGCCCAACACAAAACAGGCCGCTCTCAAATAAATTACTTTTATCGAAATCCGACATCGACGCTTTCCATAATATTTGATTTTTATTGCGTTAGTTCGGATCGCAACGCAGATACACGACAATTCAATTCGGTTAATTGGCAACCCAAGAATTTTCAAAAATGGGGCCTTTTTTCCAGCTTATTGTATTTGTGGTTGCCTATGTCATAACAAGAAACATTATTTCGAGCGTCATGCTTTGCTACACTTGAAATGTTTGTAATTTTGAAAACAATATAATTTATATATATAAATAAGTTGCAAAATGTTTTAAAATTGTTTCTGACATTTCTTGGAACTCCTTTTTGTATTTGAAGTGTAACTTTTCTTTTTTTTGAACGGTAACGTTGTAAATGTTTTGCCAAGTTTCGATTGTAATTTCTCCCTGTGATTTTGTTTAGATTGTTCGATAATTAGATGATGTAAACGAGAAAAAGTGTTAAGTCTTTTTTCATGTCGTTTTGTTTTGAATGTTGAAAAAACATGACGAAGTTTATTATGATGGGGTGAATAAACGGTATAAGATTATAAAGAGACGTTGCAGGGAAGGAATTTTTAATTTTTAGGTAGTAAAACGAAATAGGTAGTAATTTTAATTAAAAACTTGAAAAGTATCCTTTGTTTTAGTAGCTGAAACAAATAAAGTTTAAGAGGCGGATGTTTTGTTCCGGTAATTAGGAGGAAATTAAACCGTCACGGATGGTCATCCCAGGAACACTCCAATCCAAACTTCACACAGATTTATTCGAGTTTTTATTGCGCGCCAACTTTGAGCCGTTATAAATTGCATCGAATTCGACGTGCTTCATAAAACAGTGCAGATCTCATTTCGAGATAGTCGGATCGTCGCCCGGATCTTTCCGGCGCGAATTCGGATTATTAAATATCGCACTGTCCGAAAACGTGAATTATTGACGCTGGCGTCTCTTTCGGGGGACGAAAGACATTAAAAAACTTCGTTAAGGAGAGGATAAACAGGAGGGCGTCATTAAAAAATACATTATTTAAGTTTCAAAGCACGTACGTCAATTCTGACTGCAAACGAGCAGCACTTTAAACGAAAAAACTTTATACTTGATTAGTAGCGTTAAATTAGGGTCGGCGAAACTTAATTAAATTTTATATAATGAACTAACTGAGGAAATGCTGAACAAAAATAATTAAAAACCTAAATTTGCTTCGCCCGTGTACAGTTAAGTGACAAACTTAATTAACAGGGTTATTCTTCGGATACTTTCGAGCAGGACGGGCCTTATCATTAGACTTATTGTCTTCCATTCACAGCATGGGGCCTCTCTGCGTTTTTAATTGGAAACGATGACGAAAAGCCTAAACTTCAATATTTACAAAAAAAATGTGCACAATATCAGAAGCGTTTCGTAGTCTGATTTTTATTTAAACTTTGCGTTTTAGTTGCATTGTAAGCTTTTTAATTGCTAGCGAATGCATTGGTAAAGGTTGGAAAAGCCAACCCCATTCCCTTTTGCTGAGCGTAAATAGGTAATGAGATGATAAATTGAATGAGTCTAATCTGAAATAAATAAGCGGAAGGAGGAGAAAGCAAAACAGAACCGGAGAGTAAGTGGCACTAAACGAACTAAGTGACGGATGGGGGTGAGAAACAGAGACAGATGGATGGCGGACGTATTGCAAACAAGAAAGAGAGCCATGCCCACAGACGGGACAATATAACCGTGAAATTGATCGGCGTTGCTTCTTCAAGAGACCGCCTAGCTATTTCAAACTGCCGAAGTTAAGCAAATCCGAGTGTTGCTCGAGATGATTGTATATGTCGATCAATTCCGGGATCCCGACACCGTACATTTTTTTTGCATTAAACACGAGTCAAATTAATTGAAAAGTGAGATTCAGGGCCGTAAAAACTCCGGCATAGTGAGACAGAATGATGTTAAAGTTTACGAGCGAAACAGTTGAAAATATTATGGTTTTACTACTGTGTTATTGCAATGACAAGTTTATTCCAACGCTGTGAAACTTGTGTTTTGATTCGGTATAAACGTTAAGGAGGATTTTGCGGTGAGGTCTTTGCTGTCTTCCGGATTTTCGCTGGGTGATTATTAGCGTCGTTCTGATTTATCGTCGGCCGTCTATGGAGTGTCGTGCAGTGTATAAATTTCGTCCGAGCTTTTATTATTTCACACAGATTTCGTCTACGATAGGAAAAAGCCTCCAATCTCTGTCTTACCTACTCCGACTTTTCTCAGACGTGTAGGTGGAGAAAACAGAGATGGATTGTATCAAAGCAGGTCCGGCTGCAAGCGGATAAATAATGTAAGGCAATAATAAAATATGGCTGGTCCGGCGGTAACATACCTCGCTAGTTTAATAAAAACGTCAACCGTCTCGCAGAGGGCCATTCCGGGACAGGGGTCGCCCCTGTTTTATTTTCTCCACCGTGCAATATTAATATACGTATTAGAAAAGTCGCTTTCATGTAAATGTTTGCCCCCGACGGGAAATTGATATGCAAGTCAAATATTAATAAAACCAAATTTAATCTCGCTCTATAAATCCCTTTCTTGTTTGTTCCAGATAAAGGCCAGGCCTGACGGCCCTATGATGACCATGGACGTGTCCAAGGGGGAGGCGGCCAAGCCCAACTCGGGCCAGGGACCGCAAGAGTGCGCCGGATGCTGCAAAACTATCACCGAGAGGTACCTCCTCAAAGCTCTGGACCTCTACTGGCACGAGGACTGCCTCAAATGCGGCTGCTGTGACTGCAGGCTGGGCGAAGTCGGCTCTACTCTCTACACCAAAGCCAATCTTATCTTGTGCAAAAGAGACTATTTAAGACTTTTCGGAAACACTGGCTATTGTGCGGCCTGCAGCAAAGTTATACCGGCCTTCGAGATGGTCATGAGGGCCAGGAGTAATGTCTACCACCTAGAGTGCTTCGCATGCCAGCAATGCAACCACAGGTTTGTTATCCTTAGAAATTGTTTATTATGTAGAGCAGGAAATTCTACAATTTTTAATAAAAGGAATCCATAATTAGTTCAAAGTGCAAGTTCTTGTGGTTAAAAGGGGGTCCAGGAGAGAAAGTCGTCTTGCACAAAAATTAAAGCTTATATTGATTAAAACATGTTTCGGGCACTAACTAGTCTCATCTTCAGGCTAAATTGATAATAGAAGCATATAAATTATTGAAGATCAAGAAATTTTGAAAAGTTAGGCCGAAATAAAATTAAATTGATAAAATTAAAAGTGATCGAGGAAATTCCCTTAGACTGAAGATGGGACTACTTAGTATCCGAAACATGTTTCAATCAATATGAGCTTTAATTTTTGTGCAAGATGACTTTTTCTCCTGTTCCCCCCTTTAATCCTACAGTTTCTTCATAAAGCCTATTTGTCTTATTGTTTAAGTATTTCTGAAATGCTCCTCAAGTTTGCAGTTAAAAGCGAAATTTGTAGTTTGGTTCTGGTTTTAGAGTGGAATATTTCTCGTGGTACGCCTCTGTTTTGCGATCGCAGGCCACATATCTATCACAACTCAAACAGGCCGCTCGCCGGGATACAGGAATGATTTCCCTCATGGCTTGTAAAGTGTTCTAAAAGACAACGGCGCGCCGTCCAGGTTCCTTCCAGTTTTGTCGAGATGGATGCAGATCTCGGCCACAGCGTTGTATGACACTGATTCCGGTGTCTTTTCTCTCTCCCTTTCAAATATTCAGCTCCGGTCTGCTCGCCATATCGCATTACACTTCTGAGAATTGCTCGCTACTTACCCGCGATACGTTTACGGCCCGCTTGTTGCAGGAAAAGCGACGCGGAGCAACCTGCCCATTACAGGAGGTCGTTACGTGAGACTGTCGCCTCGCATTTATACGTTTTACATGAATAATTCCCGGCTATTCCCATCAAACATTGACAACCAAACTCCCATCTCGAAATCGATCTTAGGATTTTTAATAATTTTAAATCTATTGTTGGCGATTTTAATATGTGAGACCGTGCATGAAAAACAGGAACAAAACAACGATGTATTTTTGTTTGAAAGAACAATCGTTTTATTGTCAAATTATCCGAAAAACATAAAACAAACGCTGGATGTGTATTGTGCATGTGGGAACCCCCCTTGCTGCCGGGGCTGTCGCTCCGATGGAAAAACAATAACTAAATCTAATATAAAACGTACAATAGACTAATAAAACAACAATCGAAAACAAAAACTGCAATTATAAACATGACAATATATCGCAGCGGCGACCGCTCGGTAATACAGTTAAATATATTAATAATTGCGAACAATAAAAGTGGATTATTTCGCATGGATGACCGCTGTAATATTTCAGGGCTCAGGGCGGACGAGGACAATGACGGGCGAAAAACTGACCGGACAGAGGCGTACCTCTCGGAAAAAGCACTCGAGAAGCGAACCTGATTCGACAAGAACAATCTCTCTTTTAAATTAGAAACTGGAAAAATATCACATTTTGTATAAAATCGAATTTAATATTCTTTAGGAACAAATGGAATGCGCAGTATATTATTTAAATGACAAGTATTTTTGATCAGTAAAAATAATAAATGAACAGTAAAGACAATGAATGAATGTCTAGCAAAACTAATTAATTTAATATTCACTGATTTATAAACAAAATGTTTCCGAGCAAAATCGCAATATCGCAAAGCGTTCAAAAACAAAATTGTGGTATCAGGAACACAGTAGTGCAAAGAGTGGTGTACGCTGATTAGACTGATTACCATTTGTGCACAGTTTTTAGCCCTTGCTAAAATCATTCTTGTGCAGGGGCCCTTGCTAATACATATATCATCCTACAAGAATAATAAATATTCAGTAATATAAAAATAAGTACCAATAATAAATAATGCGCAGGAGCCTTACATGTTACATTATTATGTAACCATGAAAAATTCTTTAAATTTATATGTTGTTTTACTAATTTTGATTAAAGTTACTGAGCGTTTACGATTTTTACTGTGCAAATTAGATTTTTTTACTGAACAAATTACAATAAAATACTGTGCGTGCTTTACTTAGCATTTATTATTTTTACTGCGCAAAATATTATATTACACCGATTATTTTTATTTTTTTACTATGCAAAAATTAGTTAAATACTGATCATTTATCATTTTATACTGATCAAAATTGAATTATTTACTGATCGCTTTATTACTACCCAAATTTTTTCAGCAAAGCGACATTTGGATAAAAGTAACAAAAATAAATGCGTTATACATATTTTACATAAAAAACTCAAAATAAAAATTTTACTACTGTAACTTTAAAAATTACATTGTTCCATCTAGAAGCATTTTTTTCTTTTATTTTAATTTTGTGTTTAATTGGCTACAAAACAAAAATAACACGCAAGCTAGTTGTTTTTTTTAGAGGATGTGTGGAAATGAATCACTGTAAAATAGGAATAGAAGCAAATTTGCGTTATTTATGAATCCGTTCTGGAATGTATGTAATTTTTGCTCCAAATAGAAAAAAATAAATTTCAATGAACAACTTTCTAAAGGTATATTTGTCTAACGCATTTAAAATAAATCGTGTGATAATCTGCGAGTTGAAATCTGGAATTTGTTTAACCACAATCACCGTCACGATCTCACTTGCCAAGCCCGGAAAAATAACAAGAGAGTTTTATTTTCGCGCGAGGGTTGGAAGTAGTCAGTTGAAGTGGTCGTAACCCCGTTTAGCAAGTTGCAGAGGAAGTGTTCGACTCTATCACGTCACATCCTCCTTAATCCCGTTTTTATTCGATTAATAAACATTTAACTACATTGTGTCTTTTTTTGTTTTAAACATGGATCAAACAAAAGGAAAAAAATTACCAGGTCGCTTACAAACATGTCCATTGTTCCCGGAACTGATATAATATACGTTTTGGGATAGCGTACAATGGTCGCTAACGGTATCAATTTACAAACGTCTCTTTCAATTACACCAAAAATGACGAAACATTGCGGGCCATTAAATCTGCAGAATACAGATATAACTATAATAGTCCGGCCAACAATGGCATCGAATAACGCTTCCATATATTTTCGTTTATTAGCGCCGATTTCCACCTAACTGCCTCCATAAAGTCAAAATCTGAACATCGCGATAAACCGACCATTGTTTACTTGATTGTTAAATTTATGTTTGTACAAATTAAATCTGCGCGCCACCGCTATCTGGTGGCTACAAAAGTTGACAATCAGGTACAAGTCCGGGCACTAACTCGGCGAAGCGGCAAACTCTTCATTCACCCCCAACACACACATCCTCCTTCGAAATTTCCTCCTACTCCTCCAGTGCAATTCTTCATCTATTCCCATAATTATGTCATCAAATCTTACAACTTTCCGGGTAGGTGGAGATGCTAGATGTCCGCCCCGCCCGGAGCAGGACCCGGACTAGTGAAACAACGATAGCGTGCACGACACGCGGCCAGATATATTTGTTAACCGGGGCAAGGGCTCTTTTATAAACATTTTAATTGGTGTCCTAAATCATAGTCATTACCCATTCGGCAACGGTATTGTGCCACATTGCGATAGCCGGATAGTCGCCGGACTAAAACCGGACAAATGAATTCAAAGTCCGGGCGCTCCCCCGCACACGCCAGACATTCTCATTCTTCAGTGACGGCGCATCGGTCAAGGACTTTTTAATTTATTACGAATGAAATTACATTTATAAAACACAAAAAGGGAAGCACACGGACAGTTGCGGTCACAGCAATCTAATTTTCCTTACGGATACGAAAGCGCATTTTAAATGGAGTTTTTACTTTTGCCATTGACTCGAAAAGATAATTTTGTTTGGCGGTACTTTGCTCGGCAAACATCAACGCTCGTTAGTCACCTCAAAGCGACATTCTTCACAAATTGAAACTGAAAAAATTCTTCAAAAACAAGCAACATTTGTTGTTTTGTGTAAGATTTAATCATATGCTTTGACAAACTTTAGCTTTAGCATTTTGGAAACTGCAAAAACAAAAAAAAATGTACTACACTTGAGCGATTTAATTTATTATTGAATAAATATTAATGGTAAAAAAGGTTGACTGTGGGTATTATATTATTAATAACAATTTAATATTATAGTAAATAATTATAATAAAATTATAATCAATTAATGTAGTGATGGGGGATAAGCTACATTTTGGAAACATTGCCTCACAATGGTTTTTATTTGTTTTTGATAAAAAATACAATTTCAAGCAGTTTAAAATTGTGCTTTTATGTGTCCGGAGTGACCGGAGTTGAAATACTTCAAGTCCTAGGAGTTGAACAGTTCACAGGGGGGCTCGACCGAGTATCTCACACGGTGAAATTACGATTTGTTTATCAATAATTACCCCAATTATTTAATGATTAAATTATTTTTATTAAAAAAACCTCGAAACTAGCAAAAAAAAAACAAAAATATTATCCAATATTTAATGGGTGTCAATGGGCGACAATGCGTCAATGGGTGTCATAAGTCACAAAAACTGATTTTCAAGATTTTTAATGCATGAAGTGTAAAATTACTCATAGTTTATGTTGGAATACTGGCATAAGAATATTTTTTAAATTGGTCCCTAAATGGTGAAAATAGTTTGACAAATATATAGGACTTTTATTATGCAAAAAATCTTTGAAAGGCATCTCAGAATTAAGATTTTAGTACTAAGAACACTGTTGTCGCCGATGTGGGACATGTGCATGAATGATGTCAAAATTAAAAATAGCAAGACGGCCGTTTAATCTTAAAAAGTAGATATAGTTTAAATTTTCGTTTTTTTGTGATTCGCTTAAAAATAAAATAGTGCCTTGTATCTGAATGTTAATTCAGAATAGAAGATCTTTTTGTGCTTCGCCTAGTTGCCGACTCGTTTCAATCGGCCTTCAATCTCTAACTTAGCACAAAAAGACTCACTTCTATTTATTCTTAATGATATAATCTACTGTTTTTTATAATTTCTGAATTTATTTATTATTTCAGTTGAATTATTTACATTTATTTACATCTTGTTTTATTACAAGATATCAAATGCGAAATCAATATCTGCTGAACTGTTATCATAAATTTTTCAAATAAGGAGCTGGAGGAATTGTTTTTTCAAAATTTGATCATCTTCAAAATAATTGTTAAATAAAATAAAGCATTGAAGAGTATAGCAATCAAATAAAAAGTTTTAGACATTGCCGAAAATGAAATGATTTATTTATCTTGAAAACATATTTTATTGCACGATATCAAATGTGAAATCAATAAATGATAATTTGATAATCTTCCGTTCAATCTATTAGACGCAATATAAGTGATATTTCTTTATTTATTACACCGAAATAAAACATTTAAACAAGTACATACATTAATTTTTGATGATCGTGTAAAACGTGTATTCATAATGTGGTAAACAAGATTAATGTTTTGATATTTGGGGTACTTTTTTTGATAGTATTGTTGTCTGCCTAACGGCAAAACGCCGCAAAGTCTCTCTATTCTATAATCATCAGTAACCACCCCAAAATTTTCCATATTTCAATATCCTAATATCTCAATCTGAAATTCATCGCCGACCTAAAATTTAATGAAACCATTCTCAGTTTTATTTCATAAATGAAATATGGTTTTTGTTAAATAGTCTGGAATAAGTCAACAATGACAGGTCAATTGAATATAACGAGTTCACGTTGTAGCTCGTGTACAGCACAGCGTGTAAGTAATGAGTAATTGCATATTGGCACCGTTTGTCATTGCATACGGATTAACTCACTGCTATACGCTATAATATTGTGCTGCCGTATTCGACGCGGGGATTTACACAATTCCAACACGGTTAAGCCCGAGATTAACAAAAAAGAGGGCCCTTATTGCTTCGAATAATTAATTTAAAGACATTGATTATAAAATTGTAGTCGAGAGTAAGTTGTTTGGCTCACATTGTGCCATTTTCAAGCAAACATAAGTCTTGTCCAACTTTTTTTTAATGAATTTTATTATGTTTAATCGAAATTCTGATTCCTAGGGAAGAGTGTGAAAAAAATTATCGGCTAGCACCGCGGTGGAACAGCGTCGCGCTCGCGCCACATTAGAGCCTTTCAGTTTAGAATTATGGCATCCATTGGTTAGTTTTTCATTCGTAATGTTTAACACCTTGATTTATACACTAGTATCACCATTTTCCGGCCGTTAAATCGCTTTTGCAGTCGTATGATTTACGTCAAAATCGGATTTTGCCGGTGTTAATCGTCGATTTTGTTGCAGGTTTTGCGTCGGTGATCGCTTCTACCTTTGCGAAAACAAAATCCTCTGCGAGTATGACTACGAGGAGAGGTTGGTTTTCGCCAACATGGCGTACAACCCACCGCCACTGTCCCATCTCAAGCGCCAGACGTCCATTCCGCCGGTAAGAATCGGCCTCGTCTCAGCGTCTTACGGCACTCACAATTTTTTTTCAGCCCAACATTCCTAATCATCATTTGATAAACGGCCACCGGGCACCTCTCCCACCCACCAACGGGGATCTTAATAATAACATGTCGGGATCTGGGGGGCAACCGCCCCCAAACTCCATGGCTAACCAGGCGTTTCAACCAGGACATCTGAAAAGCAGTCCCATGTCGTTGGGGGCAACTAGCTGAAGACGATCCCAGTTATCGTAAACACTGTGATTTTGTGTTTTTCGTGTGTATATAGTCTTTAATAATGCTCAATCACTGCGTATACTTTCGGATATTCGATTAATGTGCAATATTTCATCACTCAAATTTTGATGTAAGATAAAGACAATCCGCTGAATATGTGGTGCAGATTCTTGGAGGTTTTTGCAAAGAAATGAAGAAGGTTGTGGTCCGGACGAGATCTTAAGTCTTGTTAGCGAACTCGACAACTAATTAAGTGCAGGCTTAGGCGGACTAAGACTTTGTAAACTCGGAAAGTCGCGGTTAAATGTGCCATAAAATAATGTAGGTGTATCACTCTGTATATGAATTGGACTGAAGGACTAGTGTGCAACAACCACAATATTCTATACCAGGTATTCAGTGTCCGCCTTTGTAATTAGGTTTGAAGTTTGTAAATAGACATTGTTAGAATTAGTAATTAATGTTGATAACGTATACCATGATTATTGACGCTAGTTGTTTTCAACATAAATGTTAATTACGATCACTATTATTACCGTATATGTTATAAAATCGTTGCCATTTTTATTTATGTTCATTGTTTCACACTTATTTTTATTCTGAAATGTATAAATCCCTCTGTAAATATTGATAACCGTTACTTTTAAGACTAGGTGCCAATTTTAGAATTTTTGTGTACAAAAAAGGAGAAACCCAAACATTGTCAAAATGTATTCAATTATTATACCAATGATTTGACCAAAGAAATAAATAGATTTCATGAATATTGTTTTTTCTTCCGCAGGAAGCGACTCCATTTACGTCACATAACCAACCTTATTATATACAGCAATTTCAGATTTGCGGCATAAGAAAAATTGCACCTCTCCCCCTTAACGTTTCATCTTTTTCTCTCTTGTAAATTCGAGTGTCGCTTTCTCCGTCATCACTATCAGGACAATCTTTAATTTCGTAGCTTGTTAACTCGAACTTACAACAATAACGGGGCTTATTGGAGGGATTTTTCTTGGTTTTTCGTCCTGGCAAAAATTAAATTTAAACCGTAACACCGAAACGAACTCTCCGATAATTACATTCCGCCCAGCGTTGAACGAAAAGTTATTAATAGTTCCTTCGGCGCTGTTAACCGCTACAATCAAATATAAAACCGTACTTAATTGAAATTAATTTCTATCGGAGAGCTAATTACCAAAGACCGATGTAAATAACGATTTTGGCGGAGGCGCCGCGAGCACAACATCTCTCTCGTTCTCGTCTTTGTCTTTACTTATCTCGATGCACTTCCTCGGGCCATTTTTATGCGCCCGTAACGAGATTAAGGCTCGCCGTTTACTAGTTTATAATAGCGGTATTAAGGAGTTAGTTGATGTAAGCTCGAGCTTGATAATGTATGCGGCCCAGGACCGCGCAGACTTACAACTTACTCAGACGAACAACAAGCGAATGTAACGAATTTAATAAGCGGATCGGTCTTTGCGAACATTAAATTGTCGGCAGCGGAACGGCAACTGAATACGTGAACGGAACGAACCATCCCTAATTCCACCCTGAAAAAAAAAAGAAAACTACAAATTAGCAACTATTTTTTTTGTTAAAATTGTCATAAAATCTTGTTCTGATAGTCCGGTCAAATTAGTCATAAAAATAGTGGTCAAATAACGAAAATTCTGACAGAGCTAAATTAGTTATTTGAAATGTCTATTTTGCCCAGACTATGATTTATCAGAGAATTAAAGTATAGAGGTATTAAACATGAACTGAAACAATTCAGAGAATGAAGCTCTAATTTTCTAATATTACATTTAAAACAACGTTTGAAGCAATTTTTTTAGACATATCCAAAATTGGTTCATTTTGACCTTAATTTTTATTAATTTTTAAAATTAAAATAAAATTAAAATAAATATTTAACGATTTGTGTCCAACATAGTAAATGTGTTTCATTTTTCTAGATATACATATTCCTATCAGTATATAGATTGAAAGCTTTTAATTTTGACTGTTAATTTTATCTTGGCAACACGTAAAGATCAAAGTTTTTTTTTTAACAAAAACGACTTCAAAGTGGTGTGTTTTATTATCAGAAGTTTATGTTTTTGTCGAAATTTAATTTGCGAACTACAATAAGTAATAATTATGTCGACGCAAAGATATTTTAACCTAAATTTTATGGTATTTCTTTTTATCTTTACAAAAATTTAAATTGGTTTAATTGTTTTTTTGATGATTTTGCTTATGATTGTCAAATCTGCATGTTTAATATGAATTTGGAAACAAAGGGCCAAAATAATATGATGAAAATTGAAAAAGATGTTATCGAATAATAACATTAGTATACAAATAATAACTTGTTTAATATACTTTTAATTAAATTATTATTTTTATGTTTATTTATCTTTAATTCAACAAAAATAATAGTTAAATTTTTATATTACGTCATAGTTTTTCTGCACCAATGCTTCCGAAGTTTAAGTGGGTCTTCAAATACATTTCACTGAATCGCATTTGGAGTTTTTTTCTAAAAATTTAAACAGCATGAGTGACGAACAGGGCGAGCGTTTTCACCAAGATCTGAAGGGTTTTCGAAGATCGGCACAAACATTTTTGGGACCAAAAAAATGTTAGAAGATTACTGTTGGACTATTATAGGGGAAACTGATACAAAAAAGTATAAAAAACAAAGTAAATGAACTGGTTTTTAATTTGTTATTTGGCTGTTGTATCTTTGTTAATTGCGTATTTCTTAAACGTGGTGAGCTTTTAATTTTTTTTAAACTCATTGCCTCAAAATCTGAAAAAAATTATAATTTTTAGCTAAGGTATAAAAATCGTATAAACTAGTGTAATTATTATTATCTATGGAAAAATAATGAAGCAACGACAGATAAGTCAAAAAAATTGTGAGACAATAAATGAATATGTTTTTCGACACTTTAGTTAAATGTAACACGACGCATTCATTTAATTTCTTCTTTAATGATTAAAATAATATTGTTCATAGTAAAATGTTTGCAAGTATGCTCTTTATACAAAAAAAATCCAAGCCTGGGAAATTGAGAATCCTGAAATAGAAGGTGTAGAAAAAATACATTGCATACAAGTTTGTAATAAGTGTTGTATTTTATTAAGCAACAGAAATAAATAATTCAAGAGAACTACAAGTCATGCAATTTTTTTGCAATTTTGTAATTTATTTTTAGCTACCTAAATAAACCTTTTCTCTTTGGGACAAACATTTGCCCGCCCGGTTTACGAATCCACGAGCCGCCTCTGCAGCATATAGTTATTAAAAATAAGGAAGACGTGGGGTCCTGCATTGAGTACCCGTAAAGTTTTTTGGGTCCACCCCGTATCTTTGAAATGTTTGTATAAATCTTTCCTTTTGTCGCTTTGTAGATACACGAGTCGTTTAGGTATCTCCTCACTCTTCGCGGATTATTTCTTCGAGTTGTTCTCTTCTCTCCGTACTTTTGTCGGGATCAAGTCGGCCGTGTGTGATGCGATAGTCGCATTTAAATACGCCTTGTGTTCAATGGCGCGCTACGTCGATTTATTCGTGAAAACATCGCGAGTTCCCTTTAAAATATGTATTTGTATTCAGTATCAGTGCGGTCTTAACGTCCCATTGATACACCGCTTTCGACATTTCGACTTGTTTCTTACGTACTTTACGACCGGAAAAGTTGATAACTGTCGGGATTTTCGTCGGCGCCTTTACAGGGCCATTAATACCGCTACTGAATTCGAATATTATGTGCCGCCGACATATTTTAACATGGCAGTAGTTAAGTTATCAGCCTCCAGGCGCGCGCTTTTCATATAAACAGAGCGGAGCTTCTAATTACCATACTGCGATCTTAAATAATGGCCTGTATTAAGAAACGTTTAAATAATCTGGGAACAACCAGGTGGGATCCAAGTTTATTCGCTAAATGCCTCTATTCTTCATCTTAAACTTCGCCTCGGTGTCTCTCTGTCTCACACACACAATCTCCAGACTATCTCTTGCCCTAAGCTCCGCCAGATTAACATAAGATTATTTCACAAACTGGCAGCCTTTAACTTTAAACCTACTTTAGCAAGTAGAGGGAATTTTAGACCGTCGAGAAACTTGTCTCAACTTTTACATATTTGATTGGGGATTTCATTTACGTTTTAATCCTACCCAGCTTGATTGAGCCCCCTCACCCCATAAAAACACAAAATATAGTTTTTCAAGTCATTTATTTGTTACAAATTGCTGGCAACCAAATCTCCCGTCAGAGCCACATAACAGAACGCCCCATCATCCGGAACCGGTTGATCCAATAAAAATTGATTTGCTTCGGGACCAGTCGGATCAATCACCGGATTAGTCCGGGCTGCCTTTTTTGCGGCTTTATTCAAAGGTTCCAAAAAATCTGGCGGGTAATCCGTGAACGGGCCCACAATTCTCAAATCGTGCAAATAGCCAACTAAGGCCATAATGTAGTCATTTCTTATGGCTTTCATTGCAGAACACGCCTCGCCATGTATGGTACAGAGAGTCTGGAGCCAAGAAGCGGTCCTTGTCTTGTCCTCAGCAGGGAGCAAAGCGGCATAAGGCCGCGTCAAGTATAATAAATACTGGAATTCTTGATCCAAAACCTGAATCAAATTTTTTGAACTGTGTGTGAAAACACATTAAAATTCGTAACTTTATCCAATTTGTGATCCTGTTCACACTCTTCTTTCGACCCGTGTACGCAACAACCCATCATTTCAAAATCATCAGGCAGAGACAGGAGGGTTTCCTGCCACATTCGGTCAACTTCCCATTCCGCTGCTGTCGAAGGGTCTGGTTGAATAGTCCTCAAGTCGGCTAAAGCGTCATCCGGAGGACTTTTCTCAAAAACACCGGAAATTTCATCATTTAATAAATTAATTGTCAATGAAATTAAATATCTGTTTCTTTTTTCTCTCAATTTTGAGGTTTGATACTCGGGCCGGAATAATTTCTGGATCCAGGGAAGTGCCATTGCCTTATCCCTGTCGCTGCTCAAAGTCGGTGCTATGACTTTGAGAACCGAACCGTAATAGAGGAATTCCATACTGAGGGAATCTTGGTTTCTGGAATTGGTCAAATCTTGATTGTGATAATTGTGGGAGAAATAGTTACGTTGGGGGAGTGTCGGCAGCGGGAGTTGGTGATTCCGGTGCATTTATTGTGACTTCTTTAGGTTTTTCTTCAATGATGGGTTCCGGTTGGGGTTCCGGTTCCGGTTCCGGTGGCGGAGGTTCATCTGGGGGATTTTCTTCTTCTGCAGGAGGATTAGCGTTTTCCTCGTCTTCCATTGCGAATTTTGACGTGACAACCGAAAAGTTAAATTTTCTCCTGACTTACTTGATTTAATTCAAATAAGTTCGTTGAAAAGGGCAATTTTTTCCGGCTGTCCATCGCCATTGTGCCCGACCATTGTGTGATTGACATGTTCGATTCTCCGAGAATGATATCTACTCGATCTGCCACTTACCGGTTTTAAATAGTTAATCGTTTCAGAGTTTCGTGTGACGCTTTTCATTCTCCCTTTCTTGATGATTATTTGTAACGAGACGTTTGTCGGATCACGAACGTGAATATTTCATTGTTGTTGATTTTTTTCGTGTTTTGCATTGGGACGATAAGGTGTGAGGAATAGGGAGTTTGAAAGCAGGTTCCATTAGCCGAACAACAAACTGTTGGTTATTTTAGATGGAAAAATGGAAGAACAGTGTTTCCATGTCCCCTGTGACACACTGGTCACTGATTGCAACCGTCTGACTTATCGAATATTGAATTGACCGATGTGTGGCGGCGGCTTCGCGACAAGAATTCTCAAATATTCAACACGTCAACAAATCCGCGGTTTAACACTTTGTTAATTTTTTCCGGCTGGTTTTTTTCCGAGACACTTTCTTTATTAATGAACCGAATTTGTGGTGGTTGTTTGAATTGTAAATTTATTTATGCCACTTGGATGTCACATTAATTTTATGAATTTATTCAAAAGTGTAATAAAATAATGAAATTTTAAACGGATGCAATTAATAGATAAAAGTTTTTTTGGGTTGACATTTTTACACACATATCCGAACACGTCATACGGGCCGTGTACCCAGCGTTTTTAATTAAATTAAATACATAATAGGCGACGACTTTAATTAAGGGATTTAAAACAGTTTTCAAATATAAAATGGATAAAATGCAAAACACTCGAACATTTATTGCTTCAAGTGTATAAAAAACCGACACATTTATAATACCACCAGCTCCATTAGATTAAGTAAAATGCATTTCATGTAAATTTTTTCCACTCGGATGAATTTATATGTCCCTCCATGTGTGTATCATCGAATCGTTTATTTACTCGCGCATTAAACTCTTCAATTAATTTTTCGACTTTTTTACAAATCAATCCTCAATACCGAAAAAAATTTCAACCCACCGATAAGATCGAAACTCATTTCGGGCACTGATGACACAACCGCTACACCCCCAATTCTCATATTTAAGGGTGCAAACAAAAACGAGCGCACTGTCATCTTTCGGTTACATACGAAATTAAATAAAATGAAAAACGTCTTTAGTCTGACGTGTACCGTGGATGTGGATGCGGTAAGGGCGAGAATTACACGATCAACTGGAGGGTGGTCGACTTTACTGCTATTGCCCTTTCATGGAAATAACTGTCATCTATTTTGCAGATAAGATCGTAATTGAATCGGCTTGACGGCAGATTTGCACACGGACCACTGCATGGAATGGGTACACTATTATTTTGGATACAGTCTCGCAGAAATATTACACCCTGGCGCTGCCCAGGGGCGGAATACACATTTTTTACTACTTAAAAAATTAGTTTTTAATTATGTATTAGATTTATTTCATCTTCAATACGTGATTTTATCAGTCATAAAAATGGTGGATGCGCCGGGATAGTAAAAACTTACAGTAATTGTAATAACTTTATTTGACAAACAAGTATTACAATATTACATTAACATCAAAAATTGATGTTTTAAATATTTTAAAATACAAAGCTAAGATAATAATAATATCAAGTAAACAAAAATATTGAACCAAACGTTTGTTATTAATTAAAAAAAAATTGATGAATGATAAAGTATTATAAAAATGTAACGTTTTTCAGAAACATTTTTTAAATTTTTTTATTTTTGAGTTCAAATTTTTATTTTTTTTTTAAATGATAACCCACTTTCAAACCTATTTTTACAAAGGCTATGATCTAAGTATTTTAACTATCTTTATTTTATTTAATTTGTATGAAAAAAACGTTTTATGTACTCGTGCGTTGCCATTTTTAAAAAAAATCGTAAAACTCAATAACAAAACAAAATTTTATTTTTAAAACAAGATCACATTTTTATAGCACTTCAATTTTTGGTAATTATTATTTTCTAAAAGCTAAAATAATAAAAAACGCTTAGTTCCATATTTTTTATTCGCCTGGTAAAAGTTGGACACAGTTTGAAGACATTTTTTAATATAATTTATTTTAGTTTATTAAAAATGCAATTTTGAAGTAATGTAATAAAAAAGTAAGAATGAATTTTTAATCTTTTTATGGTCCTTAGGACCCATTTCTTGATCAAATTTATGAAACGGTAGTTTTTGTGCCCAAATGCGTTTTTATTTAATCCGTTTATGAATTTCCTTTAAAGTTGTTTACCAGCGGCGTCGGCGGATGAATTATCGCCAATGACAAAAGCCCGTCGAAAAATCCAAACTGATATGAGAGGACGCGGTCGAAATTGAAACAGTAAAGCAGCTTAGCTCGCACGCCGGGGTAACGATCAGATAGCGGCGTGAAATCAGCGCATAACAACGCGGTTTACCCCATTATAACACGGGGTGCTGGTGCTCACTTACCCCTCCTCGCACGCTTTCCATGACTTGCTCTAAATGCATTCGAGATAAATCGTCACGATAAAATATGGACTTTAGTTTCGTATTAATGTACGGAATGATGCATGGACGCGTGCGTGATGTATGGCATTCTAACAAGAAGCTTCATTTGCATATTTATTCATTACGCACGACCGAGAAATCGCCCGAGAAACACCCTGTATACGGCTCGAGCAAGCTCGAAAGCTAGACAGTGACATTGGCGTAATTAAGAGGATCATTAATAAAGATTAGCAATGCAGCGGTGTCCTGATCAAATAGCCAGAGTTAGTGGCCGTCGACGCGACGTCGGCCGTAATTAGCCGCATTCGGGGTGGCCGCACACTCCGGACTTGCACCATTAATGGTGGCCCGGAGCCACCCGGAGTTTGGCCGACGCGACTGGCTATCTGCATCACGCAGACCTCTAATGGAATAGCAATGAAATTAGGAAAATAATGTCCTTAGTTTAATTGCTAACCGGAATAGTCCACAGCCCGGTCAACCAGGAAATTAGTTTTGATTAAGGGATGCGTTCGCACCCACGAGGCCCTTCTTGATATGCAACACAGGCACAGGCACGGACTCACACAAAATTAACAAAAACGGAAAAATAGGTTGTAGTATCATTGAAGATTTTAAACAATACAGGGTGTGCCAGCGAGATAAAGTCCATTATTGACCCTATTCCTTTTTAAAATAAAAAAAATTAATATAGGAAATTGATAAATACTAAACTAGTGCATAGCCTGAAATTTTTTCAACTATACAGCGTGTCCCAAAATAAGTAACAATACAAACTTGTATTTTTTTAAATGAAACACATACGTTTCTTAGTATTTCTAGAAGTAGTTTTCTATTACAATGTTTTTAAGTTAAACTTCAAATGATTGATTTTGCTTAGTATTTGAAGTAAGTAGTTTTTTGACAAAAAAATACTTATTAAAAAAATTTATAACACACAAATTAAAACAGCTAGAATTTTTTTTAACTGCAAATACAGGGTGTTTTACATAATTTTACGAGGCCTGCGCCTAAAAGATGCAATCAATAATACATATTCCGAAACAAATTCGATTACAAATTTTGAAAAATTGGATAATCTTCTCTAGTTTGTTCACACTTTCAAAAATTACAACATTTTTAGTAAGTTAGTGATTAATAAACTAGAATCATATTAATGACGTCTCTTAATAGAACAAATGATAATTGTTTCTGAAAAACTGCAGTGTATGACCATTAATGAAACAGTGATTAGTTTGATAACCACTGTCATGGGTTTCCAAAATTTAACTAATAAAGTGTGTATTTTTTATATCTAGTGTTTTGTGAATTTTGTATATTTGGGTGCCTACATTGGGCGCAAGCCTTGTATAGTTGAGTGAAACACCCTGTATAAAAGTATAAACTTTAAAAGTATAACAAGTGTTTCGTATGTTGCACTTGTAAAAATAAAAAAAATTTAAGAGTTAAATAACTTAACTTTTTGTTTCTTCACCAAAAAGATTATTAAAAATCTTTTGAAAAAAATATATTTTTGAGGGCTTACAATTAATAACTAAAAAAATATTTAACTATAAACATTAAAAATCATTATTTTAATAGCCATCAAGTGCACATTTGCTCAAGAGATAGAAGAAATATCACTCAATGATTACATTTATGTTACATTGAATTTAATATTTTGTATTTTTACAAGAAAATAATTTGAATTACAATATTTATGCTAGTTTTTACAATCTCTGGAGGAATCTCAAATTACTATGGTTGCCTTATCAACAATACTCATTTTGATGATAGGCATTGTTGCAACAACTAACATTTAAAGTTAAATATGTTTTAATTTATTAATTCTAGATTAAAAGTTTACTTTCTCAGATATACTACATATTTATCAGTCTATTATATGCAAAAATAAAAAATATAGTGTTCTATCTAAATTTGTTAAATTAATTAACTTTTAACAAACTTCTACATCTTTTTAACTTTTTGACTGCAATACATTACTAAAATGTTATAGTCTTAAAGTACCTACTTTTCTCTTTATTACAAAGTTAAAGAATTAAAAGCTACATTCAAAAATGTCAAGGAACATATGGTTTTTTATTAAAAAAAACACAAGTTTGTATTGTAACTTATTTTTGAGACAGCTGTATAGTTGATTAGATTAGTATTAATCAATTGTCTATATAATTTTTTTTTTAAATTTTAATATTGAAAGAGAAATTATAAGCTTTACTAACTCACTGGGTTACTTTGTATAAGTTTTTGCATAACTTCAAATTAAAACAAAAATATAGAAAAGGAAGAACTATATAATAATTGTAAAAATGTTCTTTAAGAAGGTGAAAAATTTATATCTTAAGTTTATACTTATTTTTTTTTGTTAATTGTTATTTTGGTCGTCTATATGAGGCTTATGTAATTGTTGATGTGGAAATCAATCGCGGCGGGCGTGTATGATGAT